CTCTCCACTGAAGCTATAATTGTGTTTGATCTCCTGCACAGATTTCTTCTGTTTTAGTCTTCTCACACTGGAGATTATTGAAGGGTTGCTTTCTCCCACCCCAGTAAATGGTTAGCCCTCAACCACTTATCAAGTTGAATCCTGGAGGACCGAGATTGCTTGGAGTCTCAGATTGGGGGAGCAGCAGATCCCCTCTCTGCTTTCCAAGGAGAAAGCTCAGAGAAATGAGAAGTACTTTTATCTTCTTTTTGTGTTTTGTTTTTTTTTTTTTTTTTGGTTTTTCTTCTTGGTACTGGGGATTGAACTCGGGTCCTTCTGTTTGCAAGGAAGGCCACTGAACCACTGAGCTAAATCCCCAGCCCTTATCTTCTTTTTATAAGCAACAACCTCCTGGGTTTAATCTCCAGCACAGCAAAAGTTTTGTGTTTTTGTTTTTGGCTGGGGATATAGTTCATTCTGCCCCCTCAAGATAAGTACTGCTAAGATTTTGTGAATCACTTTCCTTTTATCTAAAAAAGTATTTATAGGTATATCAGTATATTTCAAAATGTGTATCTACAGTATTCTAAAACCGGGCTATCATATTGTTTTATAATCTACTTTTCCCATTTGTTACTCAGGATTAATTAATAGAATTATAATTACTGGTGCATAAAATTCCCTTGTACAGATGATTATTTAAATTACTCGTGGAGAAGTCTTTTCATTGCAAGTGACAGAAAACTCATGTCAAACTTAACCACAAAAGGACATTTTTTGGCTGACATCTGAAACAAAGTCCAGTGGGAAATCTGGTTTAAGGCACGGCAGGATCCAGGGCTCTGATAATGTTATGAGGTCTGTTTCCCTCCTCCTGTTGGCTCTTCTAACTGCTTTCGTGTTGTTCCCATGTTGCATGGAGAGGACTGTGAGAATCCCATCCAAGCCTCTCTCTAGCTTCTGGTGCTCTGTTGGCCATCTTTGTGTTTGGCCATCTTTGCTTTCCTTCGTTTGTAGATCTGTCATCTGATCTCTGCCTTCATGTTCACTTTTGCATGGTGAGTCCAAATTTCCTTTTTTGTTTTTTCTTGTAAATATACAAGTCACATGGGAGCTGACACTTACCCTAGTCCAATATGATTTTAATTAATTACATGTACAGTTAAGATCACAGTCGGAGGTACTAGGAGTCAGGGCTTGATGTGTGACTTTTCGGTGGATCCATGTTTCTATGCATTTAATGTTTCCTGTTTACTTCAAAGACCTACCTAGTCTGAGTTTCAAAGCTGACACCAACTGCCCCTCTCCTTCCACTACGTAGATCCAAAGGTTGGGTGAGGCCATCCTGAGAGTCTTGTACCCTTAGCATCCAGATAAACTGAAGTATACAGGGACAGAAATCCATCCTGTTCCTGGGGTGTGCACTGTAGTAACACCACTTATGGGCTTGAGAACTTCTGGCAAGGGATTTGACCTTGTGAATCTCTTCTTCTGGATCATTCAAATGAGGACAACAGTCCCTTCTCACTGGGATATTGTGGGCCAGATGCAGAGCACTCAGCAAATGTCACTTGGTGACTGTCTTTCTTCCAAGATATGAGGACTGCAGAGTCAAGAGAAGAACCAGATTTAACCCATATGTTCTCTCTTCCTTGTGATACATTCAGCTTAGCCTCTCCCTGAGATCCCATCCAAAGAACTCCAAGAGCAGGAAGCAGCCTTCATTATCCTGCAAACAGTCCTGTTCAGGGAACACCAAGTACTTTCCTCTCTTTCAGGGCCATAACTTCTGAGCCAACTTTTTTTCCCTAGGCAATGTGATTATGAAATACTTGTCCCCTTCACATCCAATTTATCTCTTTGCAGTATCTTAAGTTTTCTCTCTTAACACTTGATTTTTCTACTATCCTTTAGATGTGGGGCTGGAGCCAGTCATTGTATTCATTCTCTCTTTTGGCTCAATAAACGTTGGGGAACTGGAACAGATGTCCTGGGACACCACATTGTTAGTTCTTCACGGCTTGTCTAAGGGCTTACCAACTAGATACCAACTAGAATTTGAAGCTCTTGCAGGCTGCAGAACTTATTTGTTTTTTGGTGCTACTGGGGATCAAACCCAGGACCTTTGCACCCCCAGCCCTGTTTCTAGTTTGAGGCAGGGTCTAAGCTGCTAAGTTGCCCAGGCTGGACTTGAACTTGCTATACTCCTACCTCAGCCTCCAGAGTGCTGGTATCACAGGTGTGTGCTACCATGCCCAGTCACAGAACCTATTTGATAAAGGTCAATAAATATCACCTTTGAAAAGTCAGGTTACTGCATTTAGTTCCAAGTGTTAGTCTAACAACTGGGGACATAACGATGATCAAGAGAGCCACTGTTCATTCTCTTGAAGAGTGCACATTCTGGGGACACTCATTTCTGCAGAAAATAGATGGGAAATTACTAGTGTCAAACATTCATTTTTTGAAGCAAATTTTTTATTGGTACATTTTATTTGGTACCAGGGATCGAACTCGGGACCTTGCACTTGCAAGGCAGGCGGCAGAACCACTGAACTAAATCCCCGGTCTGGTACATTTTAAATATACATAATAACATTCATCATAGCAAATGTGTATCTGTATGTGCTATATCTTGCTTTTTTTCCTATTCCATCCTTCTCTTTGACCACTCTTATTTATAAAAGCTTTGTTTCCATTTTCCCCTTCTATTGTTTTCTCTTTGTCCTTTCTTTCCTTCCCCCCTCCCCTGGTTCCCCTTCCCATTTGAACATTTTCTTCCCATTTCCCAATATCTGTTACACATTTTGGTCCTTATTTCCACTTTCAGTTTCTCACATCAGAGAAACAATGCAGTATTTATGCATGTGTGTCTGATTTATTTCACTTAAGAGTATGGTCTAAATAAAAAAAGAGGATGGTTTTAAGGAGCACCCATTTAGCTAGAAATGTCTGAAGCTCATTGTTCTTTATGGCAGAGTAGTATTCCTTTGTATAAGAAAACCACATCTCCTTTATCCATTTGTCAGTTGATAGGCATTTGGGCTGTTTCCAAGATTTAGCTATTACAAACTGTGCTGCTATCAACATGGATGTGCATATCTCACTGCAGTGGCGTGCTTTTAATTCTTTTGGGAAGATACCAAGAAGGGGAAGAGCTGGGTTGAATCAAACCTGTAGTTTTAGTTTTTTTATGGAATTGCCACCCTGATTTGATTGAAGATCTCTCACACTGATTGGCTCAGTTCACTGGTTGCACCATTCTGCACTCCCACCATCAGTGGAGAACGGATCCTTTTGTCCACAGCCCCACCAGCATTTGTTGTTGATTGATTTTTCTTTTTTTTTTAGTACTAGGGATCAAATTCAGGTCCTTGCGCTTGTGAAGCAGGCGCCAGAACCACTGAGCTAAATCCTTGGCCCTGTTGATTGATAGCAGCCATTCTTTCTGATGAGATGGAATCTCAGCATTGTTTTAATTTGCGTCTCTTGAATGACCAGTGATGCTGAACATTTTTTCATATATTTCTAAATGTCAGATATCACACATCATTAAACAACCCCTGCATTGCTGGTTATGGTGTGTGTGTTATAGACAAAATAGAGGAAGGTAAGGGGGATTGGGTACGTCAGAGCAGGTTTACATCTTCAAATACGGTGCCAGGGCAGGTCTCATTGAGAAGGCGATAACTGAAGGAAAATAAGAAAAGGAGTGCGATATTTGGGAAAGAGCAAGTCCAAAGCCGGAGCATGGCTTTGTCCAGCATTTTGAAGGACAGCAAAGTGGGGGGGGCAGCAATGAGATTAGGGGTGGATCAAGAAGACCTTCCTTGAGTGACATGGGAAGGACTTGCAGCGCCGAGCAGAGAAGTGACCCAATGTCGCTCCCAAAAGCCTGGTCTGGCCTCTGGGTCTTCATGGTGCAGGTGACAGAGCTGGGCGGTGCAGTAACACAGAATCAGCCCGCAGTAACGCCCAGCAGGTGGGTGACAGGTGGAGGTTATGAGAAGGGTTCCCATTGGGGTGTAGTTGGAAGACAGGAACCATAGGGTTTTCTGGCAGCCCGGATATGGGCTTCAGGCAGGGTGACGCCAAGATGTCTGGCCTTAAAGAAAGGAGCAACCGGGCGGGGGATTCAGCTCAGTGGTTCTGCCACCTGCCTCCGAAGCACAAGGTCCCGAGTTTGATCCCCGTTACAGCGTGGCGGAGAACGTCTCGGTTTTGTCTTTGGTGGACTGGATGGTTCAGGGGCCCCATTTGTACACGCTGACCCTGTGTCAAAACCTTCAGAACCCTGTCCAGGTTCTTCTCTTTCCTGCCCTCCTGAAGGCTGGGACGTCCCTGGGAGGCGGCACAGCCCCGTCAGCCGGCAAAGCCCTGCTGTCCCCTCCCCGTGGACTGAACAGAGAGGGTGACCCGCGGGGAACAGCCTCCGGATCGCGGTGCCACGAGAACCCTCAAGTAAGCGCGAGCGGCGGCCTAGGAGGCCCGCAGGGGCGTGGCCGCCGGGTGG